GGAGAGGCTGGGGGGGTGGAATTCCTTGGACTTCTGCACGCTCGGGTTGGCAGCTCGCTTCCTCTCTAGGCAGCCGGGACGACTCTGGCTTTTTAGCCTTGCCCCCTCGCTCTTAGGGCTTTCTGTTGCGACACAGAGCGGGACTGTGTCAAAGAGAGCGTCTCCATCGGAGAGATTTTAAACGAGGTGTGTCAGACCTACTGGACAGGCGTCTGCAGTTTGCGCTCGACATCTCCTGCCGGTCAGGATTAGAATTTCTACGTAACGCCTGTCCGATCCGCTGAAAAGCTCTGTGAAATCTCTTTAAGCGAACGCCAAACAACTGTCCTACGACGACGTGGTCAATCAGTCCAGCCCCAGCAACTGCACCGTGTACTGCGGCGGCGTCACTTCGGGACTGACAGGTACCGTGGCTTCCACCCGCCGTCGCGCTGACGAACGTCTCGGAGTAGCGCGGCAGTCGCCCCCTTTTGACGCCCTCTGTTTCTTCCTGCTTCAGAACAGCTAATGCGCCAGACCTTTTCTCCCTTCGGGCAGATAATGGAAATCCGAGTCTTCCCGGATAAAGGCTACTCCTTTGTACGGTAGGCCGCCGCGCGGTTTGCGCGTTGACGAGTTGAGTAAGAATTACGGGTTCGCCTCCTTTCGGTGTCAGCCGAGCGTGGGTTGGGTGTGTGCCGAACCGTCGGGAGTACGCTGGGCGGCGGCCTGATCTGAGGAGTGAGTTAACGGGCCTGCCGCGCTCCTGGCACGAGTTGGGGGAAAAAGGCCCTCGACCCGGTCGCAACTCCTGCGGTGCCCTCCGTCGTGAGAGATTCTCCGCCTGTTCCCTCCCGTGCGGGACAAGGGGGAGCGTGGGACGCTCCTTGGCAGTGGAGTTACTGCGGCCGACGGTCGAGTTTCAGGGTTGTTTCCAGAAGCATCCTCACCTCTCTGTTGATGAGGCTCCAGATAGCGAAAAAGAGTTGTTAATCGGCTTGCGCTCCTTGCTGCCGAGTTTTCCCGTTTGAGTTACGGCGGCGAGACGGGAAAAGTGGCCGTAGCCTCGCCGGCCCTGCCCTGCCGCCGCCGCGGGGGTGACGGGAGAAGGTTTGGGCTGGTCTTCTGACGCAGCCCCGATCCGTGCCGAGCTAGCGGGGGCTCCCCCCGGGGGTTGCTTCTCCCCGAGTGAGTTCGTTCGTCTCGGCACGGCTTCTGTCTTCGGCAGGTTTAATTCTCACGAGAGTGCGGCGCACGCCATCGTCTCCGTCAACGGAACGACTATCGAAGGAAAGGTGGTGAAGTGCTACTGGGGCAAGGAGACGCCGGACATGATCAGCCCGGTCCAGCAGGTCAGGCCTCCCTCCTCCGCTTTGCTCGTCAGTCTTTGCTAGAAACCCGTTAAGCGGCTGCGACGCCTGCGCGCGTGCCGGTGTAGGGACTTGACGTATAGCACGCGTCGCCTGCGTTA